ATTTGTCTTGCTCTCTTGACTTCTGAGGTGTGCGTTAACCCCTTTGATGACATAAGGCTTTTAAGTTTCACTTGGAAGAGTGTCTTTGGTTAAAAGTTCAGAACCCAGAAATCTCAACTGTGGGTTCTAGCTAAAATTTGATAATAATAAATGTAAAAGAGTTGTAAAAGTCAACTTAATGAAAACCAGTTTGTATAATATATACACACAGATACAAGTATATATATAGTTTAAAGCCATTTTTCTCTTTCTGCAAAAACTACTCAGCCTCCTAAATTGCTCTTTTTAAAACCCTATTAATAATACTAATACTCTTTTTAAAAGCCTATTAACAGTATTACTATGAAACCAATAGATAAACAACTACACCCCCACATGAGAGAAAAACATAATTAAATTCAAGTGGGAGAGAAGGGGGAAGAAGGACAGATAAGAGGGGAGGAGAGGGGATTTGGTGTGCAGTCATCTGATGGGCACCATGTGGGGTCTACAGCAACCCCCCGGTGATGGCTCAACTGCAACTTGAACTTAACACAAGTAAACAATGTAACCTAATCATCGCTACCCTCCTATTACTTTGAAATATATATATATACACACACATATATGTATATATATACACACAGGGTAGACATAAAGTTTATGTGCAGTTGACGATGTGAAACTTTTTAAAATTGCACAGGAACTTTATGTCCACCCTGTATATATAGGAAGTCTATTTAAAAGGAAAAAGGAAAAAAAACTCTGTTAACCTTATGCACTCCCTAAGGAAGTTTCTCCATTTACCTCTGTCTGTTCCTCCTTCCTCTGGCCACTCTTGATGTCCCATGAGGGGATCAAAAATTATTAATAAAATATTCTAACAGGAATCCCTTAAGGAAAACAGAAAAGATGCTCTGGACTCCTCTTTTGGAATAGAACCTCCGTTTTGACTTAGCATATCCCAAGAGTGGTAAGTGGACACATTCTTCTCTGATGTAAAACTCTGTTGTCCTTTGTATTGTGTTCTTTTCATGTATTTAGCTGATTAGGTCCTAAGAGCTTCAAGTATTTTGTTGACACTACTTTTCACTGTTCTTTGAGTGTGCCACTGCTCTGAGCTCAGTGAAAGAAAGAGACTCAATTACAAGCCACCTATTCAACTGAAGTTGGTCTCCTGGTGAACTTCTGTTCAATCGCTGTGATTTTGTGTTGCTAAGGCATCCACGGTTGGGCATTTTCTAGCATGCCTTCCAAAGGGGATTAGATTTCCCTCTATTATGCTTTGAGATGCGGATTATTACTTTGTCCCTTCAGGCATACGCAATTTGGTATCACAGATAATATATAAAAACATACAAACTGGCACAAAGATGCTATAGCCTGGATTTTAACCAAACTGGCTTTTACTTTATTAAGAAGTACTCATAAATCAAGCAAACAAATCTAAATGCTTTCCAAGTTCACATGACTTTAAGAATCTTTGGTAAATACAGGCAATTTTTACATCATTGGTAAGAAAGAAAATCTCAGGTGTGATTCAGAGAGAAAAGTGCCAGAACCAACTGGAGATTCCTCGAGAAGTTACACAGCAGAACAAGAAGGAACAAGATTTCAGCAGAGATCAACCCCTAGAGAAACTTGGAGTTCCATGGGAAGGATAGGTGGGAATTTTGACCCTCAGACCTGTGGTCCCAAGCTGCTAGAAAGCGTCTCTACCTTCCCAGCTGTAAAGCTGCTGCCACCATGAGCTGAGAGTCTTGAAAACAAAGCACTGGGTTGCCACCTCCTTGTCACCTCCTTGTCACCACCTGAGCTGAGATGGCAGGTGCCATACTGCTTTTTTCATCCCTTATATGCCTTTGTTCTTCCCAGGGAGCTGAAAATATAAAAATAAAACAGACCAAAAAAAAAGACAATTCAATTTGTCTCATGATAGCTTTATTAGGTGTTTTGATTAGGAGATTGAGTCCCCTCTTTACCAAAGTGAAAAGTTTCTACTTTCTAAAGCCTTTAAATGATCACTTTTGCCACATAAATGACTATTCTCTTACAGTGACATGTGATCCTATTTTGAAGAAGTGTTTTAATCCTTTGTCATTTGGTATGTTAAATTCATGCAGGAATCCTCGTGAAATGTGAAATTGTGTTTAACTTCCTTTGAGATCTCCGTAATTATATGAGATTCCTAAAATTCTGACATGTGTTATATTTTATCAGTAATAATTATGATTATTCTGTTTAACAGTTGTCTACCACAGAACCAGATTTTCTTTACCAATTGTGTCTTCAGCCATGGCTGTTCTAAGAATGTTTTCAGCCACAGACAATCCTTTTTTGACTTTGATTCTTCTCAAAAGTAGTTTATAATCATTTATAGTCCAAGGTTTGCTTCATCTCTAAGGAAATAGATGGTAAGGTCTCTTACAACTAAAGACAGTTTTTCTTATAACAGTGGCAATTATGCCCTTGGGCTAGGAAAAAATTCGGGACTCTACCTAAAAATCGGATGCGGTCATGAAGATTACTAACCTAACATCAAATGGAACAACAAGTAATTTCGTGGGGCTAAACTTACAGGAACAGAAATACTTTTACACCTATGACTTTCTGCTTGAAACTTTCTGATTCTTTTTCTGTTTGTTTTCTAGATGTCAAGAAAACTTTTTATTTTGGGCAAAGGGTATGTTTGTGGGCAATTTTTTTCTTTTTATCTGATTTCTTCAGAATTTGGAAAGTATTGGTAAGTATTCTTAATTTATGACAACATAGTTACTTGCAGATTCAATAAGATTCTATATCTTTTGTACCAGGACACAAAGACACTGGTTATTTTATCAAGGTTTTGACTAGAATACCATATTTTCAGCTATACCCTGGTGGCTTTGAAGAATAGAAGTTGACTTGACAGAACTGATAAGCTGTCTCTTGAAAAGACTGGCCTGGAACCTCATCTACATCCTTCCCTTAAAGGTTTCTGTTCTTGTCGTAAGCAAAGATCATCAGTTTCTAACAGGGTCAGGAATGACAAGATATTTTGGGACCTTGAGAAAAAAGGAATATGTTTATTCACACAGGGATTATAGGCAAGTCTGCAGGAAAATCCCTGGCTGGGATGGACTCAACATTTTTAAAAAGTCTCTAAGTATAGATTCCTTACCAAAAAAGTTCCAGCAAAGCCTGTAAGGCCAATCCTCATTCTTGGTGTACTTCAGGCAAACAGTCAAGCCAAGTATAATAAGACTAAAACTTACTTTTTAAATAAATTGCTTCTCCTTGATTTGTATTTAGTAAAAATAGGGGAATAGAGAGAGAGAGAAATTATGTTTTGTAAGAAAACTATAAGCATACCCATCATTAGATTCTGGCCTTATTTATTGTTTTTGAGTTTTTATTATGTTCCTACAATTTGAACTGAATCTTGAATTCTTTCCCAGCTTCAAGTCTTCCAACTAATGTTTCTTTCATTTTTCTGACCTGGACTCAACAAAATTGCTACTGCCTCTTTACCAAGGCTCTACAAGTGGAAGCTTATACTTTGTGACATGCAAACCACAGGTGACAAAAATGTGGCCGTGAAGGTTCTTTGAGGCTAACATGTTAGCACCTCAACTGATTGTCCTGCACACTTTGGGAAAACTCATTAAAAATCAACTTCAACCTCCCTGGATGGGACCATATGAGGTGCTGCCGGGGACTCATTCCTTCATTATAATTGAAAGGGGTCAAACTCTGGAGCCATCATTCCCAGGCAAAGCTGGTTCCCCAAGAGTTGTCTAACTCAGGCTACCCAAACATGACAGGAAACAGGAACCATGCTATGTAAGAAAAATGCCACAGTCCTGACCAGATGAACCTAGTGGAATAACACAGTCCTACAGCTGACTTCTCCAAGTGGCCCAGGTAACCCATGACAGACCTCAAGTTCTCCTAAAGATAAACAACGGGAGATACTGTCCTGCTTACATGGTTATTTGCCATCACTTTTCTTGGTTTCTCTATCCACTGTTGGTTAAGCAGATTCTGCGTGCTATCCTGGCACCTTAATTATTTCAGGTGCTCATACAGACCTATAAACATAATTTTCCTTTTCCTTTCTTCTTATCTTTCCTTGATGACTTCAACTTGCAATCTAAAAGCACAGTTAACAAGTTCTCAGACATTGGCAAAGGCTAATCCTGAGGTATGTTATCTCAAACTTATTCTATGCAAATAAACTATCCCAACCCAGGAAATAGAATAATAATGCATCAGTTCATTGAAGTGTGGTATTCTGGGGGTTCAGGCAACCAAAAATACTGGGCAAGAGAATTCCATTATTTTCTAATAGGCCTACATACAGGCCTACTGTCTCAACACATCAGCAGTCCCATATCCTTGCTCCCAGCAAATTAAACAACTCACAAAACTGAATAAGACACTGAACCATGAAGCCTTCCCAAAATGGTTTGATCCTGTTATCAAGATCCTTCCTCACAACACTTACCTCAATTCCTTAATTTATCTGGTATCCTGTGTGCCCTCTCGGGATACATCTGTATCTGCAGAGAAAATGAAATCTATGAGTCAATAAATGTCTTGACAGCTGTCACATAGGAGGTGTTTGTTTGCTAGAATATTTGGTCACTCCTATCTATACATATAACAATTTTGAGACTCGGCATTGGACCAGCTCATCAAAACTCTTGGAGGTCCACAGTGACTCTACTTGGGGAAAGCTGACCAAGTTCCTGTTGGGTGGACTATGGACTGTACTGGGCAATTCCTAGACGAACTTTATTTCCCTGATGGGATGTTGCAACCCATGAGCACATGATTAAAAATTCACCTATTACCTTGGGGATCTTGACAAATTAGATGACCCTGGCACTGGCTGCCCAGCAAAAAGAAATAGACTCTTGCCCAGATTGTCTTAGATAACAGGACTGTCCTTGATGGTGTCAAAACAAAACAGGGTAGAGTCTGTGAAATAACCAATAAAACTTGCTGTTTGCATATCAACTCCTGAGTTGAGGTTAGTAAGACCACCCTTGACAAAATCAGACAACAGCTCTCAGGTAATAAGTTTCTCCTGGAACTATCTGACTGGTTTTCTGGACTTTTCTCCTGAATCATTCAAGGCTTTTTATAGTTCTGTAAGAGCTCCTGAAATTCGGGCTTTCCTTATACTAACAGGGCTTATAATTTAACTTGTGATTTAATGCTCAGTCAAATGCTATGTTAGAACCATAGAGAAGAGCACTAACAATTGTCATGTGGAGCTTAATTCTGCCAAACGGAATCGTTTCTCCAATCCTAATCACGGTACCCCCTTCTGTACTCCTGTCAGAAGGAACTAGATAAAGCAGTAATCACCCTGTTCCCTTTTAATGATTGAAGAAAGGAAGACTTTGGTGGGGGGAGTGGGATAAGGAAGACCTCAAGATTGAGTAAAGGAAGACTTCCGGGTGGGATGGTGCTGAAACTATCCTCACAGGGTTAACAAGAGTTACAAGCCAGGCTTTTAGGCTAAATTTTAATTAGACATTAATTGGTTGTATTCTGACCCACTTCCTTGCAGCTTCTTATTAAGAGTCATAGAGCACAAGTGAATCTTTCTAAAATCAGAGTATGAATGTCTTAACACAATAACTAAGAAAATGACATGAAGGCTACATTAACCAGTTTGATGAGAGTATTTCAAATTGTATATGAAAACACCACACTGTACCCTCTGATTGCATTAATGTACACAGCTATTATTTAATTAAAAAAAAAAAGAGTCATACAGTACTAGACCCTGGCTTCACCTTGTTCCCATAGATAGGATATAGGACTTGAGGACTATAACACTTTTGGCTCAAGAATTGCTTAAGATGTTTTTCAGAAGATGCTAGTACTTTGAAATGGGAATCTGCCAGCCTCCTCATTTGCCAGCAAATTAATAAACTTCTCTTTCCTTCTCCTCAAACCACTTATCCTCATTCTTCAGATGTGGCTTGGGGACTAGTGCCAAACTTTTGGTTACAAAGTTTGGCATTTGTAGGTGGGCCCATTGGCACCTCAGTGGTAAGGCACCCCACAACTACTGGAAGAGGCAAGGAGCAGCTGCATGTTAAAGCCGTACATTTTCATGGACAGGAACATCTTCCTTATAGGTGAGAAAGCAGGGATGTCCCACAAGCTCCCAGAGCCTCTGTTAGCCTCAGAGAATTCCTGTTTTTGTCTCCCCAAAGTAGATACAGCTCCTCACAACCTGAACTGAGTTGAAGAGAAGGAACTGGATTTGTTTGGAAAGTGTTCAGACACGAGGCCATTTGTGGGGTAAGTTCTCTGGCATACATCAAAGACTCTATTCCACACACATGGGGGAGAGGGGATTCAGAACTTCCTGTTGGTTTTATTTGTTTAGAGGCACCATTGGAGGTGGAAGTCATGAGATTGAATGGGACTACTGAACATGATCTGAATTCAGAGCTCCTATGCAATTCCCAGGGACTGGGGAGATGAGGCCGTCCCCTGGGGAGGGTTGCCTAGGGAACAGAAAGATTGGGCTACCCACTGGGGTAAGATTTTGAACCTTTCAGTCCTGTGGCTGAGGTTTTGTTGAAGCCCAGGGAATGAGAGAATTAGGTTGTCCATTTGGGAAGTTTTGAACTTTCCAGTGGGCTGGTGTTCATTCGTCCCCTTTGATTCCCATCACTGTTTTGGAGGGGGGCACTTATCCCCTTTGGATTCACATTTGTGATCCTTCCAGCCCTGTGGTAAGGTAGCTGAGGCATATCCATGGTGCCATCTGAGGGTACTTTGTCCTCTGTGGATTCCCATTTGTTTGATAGGCACTGGCATTTTTGTGTTGAGGATCACCCATATTGTCTGTTCATTATTTGTGAGTTTTGCTGCAGTGTAAAGAAGCTCTACCTCAAGTTCCTTTGGAAAAAATTTGGCTGATATTTAACTTATAGATATGAACCTTGGTGTAAAGAGAATGGTGTTCTGTTAAATGAAAATTCCCATTTGATTGATTAGCTGGGGCATTTTAGATTGTTTACGTTGGAAATTCCCTATATTGTTTGTGTTTAATTCTTTGCAAATTTTTGTATCACTACTGGCTAAATGGTCCATTTATAGTAAAGGGAATGGTGTTATTGTAATTCAACATACATACTGGAGTGAGGAATTGTGGCTGTTAAATGAAAATTCTCATTTGATTGATAGACTATGGAAAAGTTGATGGTTTATGTTGGGAATTACCTACATTGTTTGTGTTTTATTATTTGTGATTTTTCCTACTATTTGTCTGGTGAGTTTTTATATTGTGATACCACTTACCTGGAGTGTGAGAAAAAGTGCTGATTGGTACCACTTGTATGGGGTGTAAGGAAAAGCAGTGGTTGATGATCCCTGGTTTCTTCTGAGCTGCTGGCTCTTTCCCCAATAATTTGTTGTTTGGATTCCTAGTTTTATTTGGAGATACATTCTCAAGGTTCTTATTCATTGTCTCTTTCTCCCCCAAATTAACCTCAATTGGCCTTTCTGTGCTTTTGCAAAAGGGGAAATTGAACTATCTTTTTTGTAGATAAATGAGCTTTCAAGAAGAATGGAAGATAAATTCTTTAAAAATAAAGCCTGTAGCTCAGTGGGTAGGGTGCTGGCCACATGCACCAAGGCTGGTGGATTTGAACCCATCCAGGGCCTGCTTAAAAAAAAAAAAAAAAAAAAAAAGCCAGGCATTGTGGTGGGCACCTGTAGCCCCAGCTACTCAGGAGGCTAAGGCAAGAGTATCACTTGAGCCCAAGAGTTGGAGGTTGCTGTGAGCTTTGATGTCATAGCACTCTATTAAGGGCAAAAAAGTGAGACTCTGTCTCAATTAAAAAATAAAATAAAATGAAATAAAAATACAAACAAGAAGAATGACCCCCTTTGGGTACCTTAGATGGTTTATGGTGCCTCTACTGGCAAGTATTTGTATGAGTCAAAGGCACAACAGGTTTTCTGGAATGTCCAATTCTCATGCACAAGTTTTTACTAAAGGGTAAATTATATCAAAGGACAATTCAGAGCTCAAATGGTCAACCTACCACTACAAATTTGGAATATTGAGCCTCAAACTCTCTGCTTGAGATAAGCTTATTTTTTGCATTATATGAAGTGATCTTTGCTTGTAAGATTTTTGATAGATGAGGCCTTCCTCCCTTGACAGAACTCCACAGACAGCCAGGGTGAGACACCAGATGGGCCACAGCCTAGGAGCAGACCTGGTGGGAGGGAAGACCAGTAGGAGAAAGGACCAGCAAGGGGAAGAAACACCTGCACCCCTGCCATCTGGGCACCATGGGAAGGGCTGGGCGGGCGTCACCTGGACTAAATCTTCAACCCACGGTCATTAGGTTATGACTCAAGGTCAGAAATGGTCTCTACCTACCCAACAGTGAACTCGATTTGGCCAGAGGGTACCCATAGCCAGGGCATGGCAATCAGCATGAATCTTTCACAGCTAGTTAATAAGGCCTTTAACATAAACTAAAACCTGTGTGTTCTGATGACTATGCCACCTAAGGATCCTTTGAAACAGTCAAAAGTTCCCAGGGACCCCTGCTTCACTAGTAGCCCCAACTAAATATCCCCATAGAAGGCTCAGGTGTAAATTGACAGTAGAGATTCACCTGGCTGGTGCCAAGCCATGTGGGAAGAAGAGGTCTGGAGGAGGGGCTCTCTAACTTCCTCCTATGGCCCAGCCCCCACCAGCAGCTGCACACAGCACCCTGCAAGCCAGGTAGCAGTGAGGCAGTCATCCGCAGGTAACAGCTCAGGACTCCCCACAGAAAGCTCAGGCAGCAGACCTGGGCAAGCAGCTAGGCTTGCAGGAGATGTTCCAGAAGCAACAGAAACTTACCTCTGAGGGCACTAAGCTCCTGCTGGATGAATAGCAGGGCCAGGTGAAGTGGGGCGGGGGGCTGCCACTGACGGGCAGTTTGCTTTAAAGTTCAGGCCCCAACACACCTGCTCATCATTACAACACTGGCAGGAGAACGCTACCAAAAGTGATTAAGGCCTAAGAAAATTTAAATTCTCCCTTCCAGTGGGTATGGATACATGCAGGATTGTCATGCCACTAATGATATTGGACAGATTACTAAGAATGATGGCCAGTTACCTTTGAGTGATGTGATTCTGGGACTGGGATGGCCTCGTGGCACTGCTGGACTGCATTGCCTCAAGGGTTTAAAAGGGCTCTCTTGCCCTGCTCGGTGAGGGCGCATACCAGGGGACTTGCAGATCCTGCAGTTGACAGATGGAGCAAAGCCTTCATACAGAGCCCTTTCACTGACAAAGGCAGAGCCTCTGATCCGGACCACAGAAATCAGGACTCTGGCAGAGCTGCTGAGGAGTCCACTCTGTTCCTCAGCCTTGACGCCCCAGCCAGATTTAGATCCCTTTAATAGTAAAGACTGGTGCTCTGACATTTGAGATGATACAGCTGAATGGAGACAATTTCATAGGCTCATCTCCCACCCAAAGCTTTGGTTCAGCCTCTTCTGAGGCACCTGCATGATTATGTACATTGGGAGAAGGATACCAGATAGTTTTCTGGGACCTCATTGAAAGGACCCTGTTTGCAGCTGTTTATATGCTTGGAGCAGTCACCGTGTAGTAGAAGGTGATCCACTATACCGGAAGCCCAGTGTCAGGTGGTCCATCCTTTTGATGACTGGCAGCTTTTGCCAGATACCCAGGTTGATATGGTGGATACCTTTTCAGGCTGAATAGAGGCTTATCTTATGACAAAAAAGGAATCATTCTGGATTCTCACTCTATGGGCTTCTATCAAGAGATAGGGCCTTCACCAAGTTCCAGTGCCTGTATACCAGCACAGAGCAGGAATGGGCCTCAGAGGATGACAGGATGATGGGTGATGGCAGCCCTGACAGTTGGAGGATGGTGCGCTGGTGATGGATGCCATGGGCAGGGACCTTCAGAGGCAGCTCGACAGTTCCTCCATGAGGAGTTACCATGTGTGTCACTTTATGGTGGTGTCCATTGGGGGAAATCACGCTTTCTGCCATCTGCACCTGGATATGCTACACAGTGTCCTGTGGTTGCCCATGAGCTTCTTTGAATGAACCCCCAGCAGAAAGCTGGGGAACCATTTTTCCAAGGAATTGGACATAATAAATTCAATAATCCCATAGGTCATTGAGATGGACCCTCCTTTCTCCTTTGTAGTAGTGATAACCCAAAAAGTAAACAAAGCCCTATATCTAGAATCCAAAATTACACAGGTATTGCTGCTAGTCCTCCTCTGGATAGAGGTAGCCCTTTAAAGGTGGTCTTAAGCCCCTAAGAAATAGTTTATGAGCGACCCTTCCCAGCACCCAAGGTAAGTTTGTAATATCCATGAGGAAAAGAAAATGGAATAAAACAATATGTCAAATGAGTGGGTCAGGTGCCAGCCACCATCAGTGAGTTTTCCTCTTTCAGGTCCCTGCCCCACTTAGAAGCAGGGTGGGTGCCTATGGAGTGCCTCTAACAACTCACACCCTGCATCCACCATACCACAGTAAAGAGGTGTAGCCCCTGGTGGAAAGGCCAGCCTTAGGTGATCTAAAGTATTAGTTTGAAATAAAGAAAAAAAAATGAAGGTGTTGATTTTTTTCCACTAATCTTTTTGGTTATTTGATCATTTTATAGGATAGAGGGATGACTCCTCAGTGAGGATTTTGCTGAGCTATTGCTTCTTCTGTTGATCTATCTTGCTTACTGAGTTTGTTGTCCTAAGCTTCATTTGGTACAAGTATTTCTGTACATGATTTCTGAATTTGCCAAAGCTGGTCTCTTGGATCACATTCAGAGTCCACGTAATAGCTCTGCACTCGGAGGTCTTATGTTTCTTTTCTAATCCTATAGTGGACATTGAGTGCAAGGTGACAGTCTCCTTCACCTCGTCATTTCTCACAGTTGTAGTTTTTGCTTATGCCCTTTCTCACCTGATAATCCATACCTTCCAGCTAAAACATTGTCCCAATTTGGCAGAAAATAGTTTGATAACTATGGTTACCTCTCTTCCCATAGATATGGAAAGGTAAAATTAACAATGGGGAATATGTAACTGAGAAAATGACCTGAAAGGGGGAGAAGGTAAAAATATTTCCCTTAAAATCCGCTTATCCTTTTGACTAAAACCTACATCTCTGCCTTAGGCTAGTGGTTGGGAGGAGCAGGGAAGTCCCCTTTGTCCTTTGTGCCAAAGTAGATGGGATAAATCCAAGTGGAGACTGAGATTGTCTTAGCTGAAGATGACATTTATCAGAAACTTTAAAAGCTCTGTACTTCTACTTAGAAGGACACTGGTACTTAGTACTGGACCAATTAGCCTCCACATTCACCAGCAGATTAATAGCCTCTCTTTCCTTCTCCTAAAAAATAATTTAAAAAAAATCCCGAATTTCAGAAGAATGCCAACCAGTCAGAAGACTCTCCACAAGGCTACCAACTCAGTGCAAGAATGCGGTTTCCACATTCCCCCATTTTTCGACTTCAACCTAAGTTTTTGACAAATCAGCAATCCCCATATTTCAGCCCACTGCTCATCCCAATGCTTTAAGATTCTTATCCCCACACTCTTTGGGGAGGTGGTTTTGAGGTTTCCTCATTCAGCCTCCCCTTGATGAAACTTTCTCTGCTACAACCCTTGGTGCCTCTGTGTGTTGATGTACTGTGAACCAGGCAAGAAATCTGTTATGATTGCAGCCCTGCCCTCAAATTTATAGTCTTATTGCATGGAAAATAAGTTTATTCTATCTCAACAGCCCAAAAAGTCATAACCATTCCAGCCTCAACTCTAAAATCTAAAGTTCAAAGTTTCATTTACATATTATCTAAATTCGATATAGATGAGACTTAAGATATGATTCATCCTGAGGCAAAAATCCATATCCAGCTGTGAATCTATAAAGACAGACAAGCTGTGTGCTTCCAAAACACAGTGGTGGAACAAACATAAGATAGACATTCACAATTCAAACGAAGGAAACTCAAAAAAAGGATGACAATTCTGAACTAGCCTAAAACCTAGTAGGGCAAATTTCATTAGATCTGCAGGCTTTGGAATAATTCTCTTTAGTTCACTGTTCCTCCCTCCAGGCCCACTGAGACCACAGCATTACCCCCTTGGGGGGGGGGCTCTCTGGAAGGATAAGTCCACCCCTGAGGTACTAGATGGTGGCATCCTGACACTCTCAAACTAAGGACGTTTTAAAGTCTCACTCTTTGAAGCCAAGGAGGAACTAGCTATGCCCCCTAGGATTGTGGGAAAGTGGCATCCCCCATGATTTCTGAATTTCCTTGAGTGTCATTCTTCCCTTTTCTTGAATGATAAAGCCTGATGGCAGCCCACTACTTCTATTATCTTATTCTACAGAATCAAAGAAGTCTGGCATCCTTCTTTCACGTGATTCCATTTTTTCTGTCCCATGTAATCTTTAGTCCCATCTGGCAATGTTTTTCTGGCATAGTCTCACCTCTCTTCCTAGATTCTGCTGTGGTAAATAATTAAGCTTGTGCTTCACAGGTATACTAGTCTCCTTATCAAATGGATTCCCCTTAGTGATATCATGAGAATCATATAATAAGCTTTCTCATTTTTTACAACATGTAGAGGCTGAATATTTTTCAAATCTTAAAGTGATGGGTTCTTTTTTCTTAACAAGTTTTTCTTCAATTCATCTCCCTTCTGTTGCATTTTACTTAAAGAAGTCAGGAGAAACTAAGCTACTCCTTCAACACTTGGCTTAGAAAACTCCTAAACTAAATATCCAATTTTATTGCTCTCAAGTTCTGTCTTCCACAAGACATGAGAACACAATTCAGCCAAATTCCTAAACTTTGTATAACAAGAATCGCCTTTCCTCCATTATTCAATAACATGCTTTTCATTACAGTCTGAAACCTCCCCAGAGTGTCATTTAATACTCATATTTCTATCAGCCTTCTATTTGTGGTTATTTATATATTTTCTAAGAAAATGGAGGGTTAAGCTTCCCTTTTTTCCCTTTTCTGATCCCTCACCAGAATTGCATCTAATGTCCATATTTCTACCAACTCTCCCTTCCCAGCAATCTCAGCTTTTCCTAGTGTGTTCCTCACAACTCTTCTAGCCTCTACCCATTACCCAGTTCCAAAGTCATTTCTACATTTTTAGATTTTTAGTACTTGTTATAGGATAACCCCAGGCTATGGTAAAAAAAAAAAAAAAAAAAAAGGAATCTGTGTTAGTTCACTTGGGCTACAACAAAATACCACATGGCTTAAACAATAAGAAATTTATTTTTCACATCCTGTGGGCTGGGAAATCCAAAATCATGCTGTTGGCTGATTCAGTTCCTATCCTTAGCTTGTGGGTAGCTACTTTCTTGCTGAATCCTGACATGTCTTTTCTTTTGTGTTCATGAGGAGAGAGAAAGAGAGAGGGACCACCAGTCCTATTAAATAAGGGCCAACCCTTATGACATCATTTATTCTTAATTACTTCCTAAATGCCTATCTCTAATTACAGTCACATTGGGATTAGGGCTTCAATATGAATTTGAGGAAACACAAATCAGTGCATAGCACCCATTTTGATGTATCTTTTAAAGATGACCAAAAACAGTGATCTCAATATTAATTTAAAGTAATAGCCATATAAGATGCAAGTGCTGTTTTTGTTATTGATATATACTCAACATACGATAAAATTCACCCTTCAAAAGCATACAATGCAGTGGTATTTTAATGTACTCATGGAATTGTGCAACCATCACTACTACCTCATTTAGAAACCCAGTACTGTTTAATAGTAACCTCTCTGTCTTTCTACTAGCCCATGGCAACCAACCACAATCTACTTTCTGTCTATATTAATTTTGCCTATTCTGGACTTTTCATGAAATGGAATGATCAAGTATGTGACCTTTTGTGGTCAAAATTGTTTTAAATGCTTCAAATAATTCACTTATTGAATCTTCATAAGAATTCTATAAAGCAGGTGGTATTATTATTATCATCATACTGAAGATGAGAAAAACTGAGACATGGTTATAACTATGTCATCTCTAAGTGGAAGAGATGGTGTTTAAGCCCAGGAAATCTGTATTCAGGCTACAATCTGAACCTTAACATAATGTTCTCCCTCATCCAAGGAGATTCATTAGACTTTATCTCCAAGGTGATCAAGGTGATAAGAATTGCAACCAGAGTCTGTGAGAAAATCTAATCTCTATATGGCTGAGTGAATCATATCATTGGGATATTCCAGTGTGGAGCAGGATCTCAATTCAAAGTGATAGTGGGGAAAAAAGCAGATTAAGGTTCTGGGAAGAACCTGCTCTCAGCAACTAGTAGCCTTCTATATGGCTCCTCCCTCCATTGTCCAAAGTACGTAGCTCCAATCTCTGCTTCTATCATCACATCACCTTTTGACTGCAGTCCAGTGGTTCTTAACCTTCCTAATGCCACAACCGTTTAATACAGTTCCTGTGGGTTGCAACCCATGGGTTGAGAACCGCTACTGCAGTCAAATCTCCCCTTGTGCTTTTGTAAAGACACCTTAAATTATATTTAAGGCTCATCTAGATAATCCAGGATACTCTCCTTATGTTAAGATTCTCAACTTAATCACATCTACTAAGTCCCTTTTCCCATATAAGTTAACATTTACAGGTTCTAGAAATTAGGGCATAGATATCTTTGACAGCCATTATTCCACCTACCATGCCTCCGTCCTTCACTTCCTTTCAAATTTCTTTTATAGGTTTCTTAATTTTTTAAAAGAAATCAAGAACAGAAAACACTCAAATCTCTATTTTATCATTCATTCTTTTACTCAGTAATCATTTGATGAATATTCTCTAGTATATAGAACGTTTTAGCTTTTGAAGCAAACACCATAGATATAGCTCTGCCCTTAAAGGAGTTCACAAACTGCAATATCCTTTTTACTAAATCAAGTAGGCCTCCCTGGTCACTCCCTTCCTTGTTGCTGTGCACTTGCCTTTTTAGTCCAGTCCTATCTCTCTCACCTGAAGCCAAGTAAGACTATTCTTCAGAGAGAATGGAAGAAGAACAGAATTCATTTTACCATGAAACCTCAGTAACACAATTTATTAACAGTAAGACCCCACTGAGATGATAATTTACTCCTCAATTATTACATTTACTTCACTTAATATAAAATTTCATGAAAAAATATTGTAAGAACCTGGGCATGGGTTAAATTAGCTTAGGACTCTAATCTCCTTTGAGTAGAGATTAGTGGTTGCATAAATATTGCCCCAGTAAAGAGCTAATTCCTGATTGCTGAAGAATCAAAGTTTTCTTTGCTGCAAAGTTCTAAATAACTTAGCATACATTGATGTGTGAACAGCTTATATTACAGCATTCATCTCTACGGATAGGAGTCTACTTTCACCTACCACCTGGACAATTTCACAATCATCAGTATTTTATACAGGTAATTTCCATTTGATTCTTTGTATTTGCTTCTGATCTGTAGGCATAACATTAACTCCTTTTCACCTAGGCCTTCTCCTTTACTCCAAGACTTACCAGCTCTCTGTATTCCTAGCTTCTAGAGTGATTGATTAAACTAGCCAGCACATTGTGTTATAACGCTACGGGGCAGCTACGGATAGTCAATGTACTCAAGATGACATTAAGAAGGCTTAAAGAAGTGCATGGGATGCAAAGCACACTGAGAAAGACCTATGGAAAACAGGCAAGATGATCCAGTGAGGTGTGGCCACAACCAAAATTTCAAGAGACACCTGATTTGCAGTAGTTGAGGACAGGAACATTCTGTTGCTCCAAAGACAATTTTGAAAATTGAGATTGATCTTTGTTATGTTATGTAAAAGAAATACCTTGAGAATTCTCTAGGAAAGTTGTAATTCTCAGAAAAGAGTTTTTAGTTTGTCATCTGTAGCATTCAAACTATATCAGAAAACTATAGCTTATTAAAATTTCTATTAGAGGAAACCAATATGATACCAGTGTTATTCAACTGGTATTTTTTTTCCATTTGAGTGTTAAAAAAACATTTTCCTGGGTTTGAGCTCAAGAGAACCAAAAAGAATTGAGGGAAGAAAAACTGTATTATGTGAAATATCTGAGAGTACTCTGTCATAAGGATAAGGTCCTGTGAAATTAGCATGAATGCTGTGTATAATGAAGAAAATGCAAAATGGAACAACTAATTTTGCAACTAATTGTTTAAAATTTTGTATGGCTGGTAGATATGAGTTAAGAGTTGCAATTAACATGAAATGACTGTTATTGATGAACTATTTCTGAAAATCAATTTGAAAAGTGAACTTTAAAAGTTTAACACTCTTTGAATCAGTAATTTGAATTCTAAGATGGTTTACTGTAGAAATAACCATAGATGTATTCAAATATTTATATAAAGACGTTCATTACAATATTATCTATAATTGAAAAAAAATGTTACAATAGCCACAATATATTGAGTGATTATAATTTTTCTGACATTATGGTTGGTGTTTGGCCCTGAGAAGAAGAAATGAAGGAAAGATAAAAGAGGGGAAAGATAATATAAGAAAATGGAAGTAATAGTAATTGCCTACTCTCTCTATTTCCTAACAGCCTAATGATCTGGTATTTCAGAACTTGGAAGAAGTTAGATTAAGGTAAAAGACTTAGGAATGATTTAAGTAAGATTTGTGACACTGGGAAAAGGCTTCATCTCAGCCATGGTGCAGTTTGATAACCTGAAGTTATGCTGGGCAGCATGGTAGCCACTAGCCACACATGACTATATGAATCTAAACTAAGTAAATAAACTCAACCTACAAATCTCAGTTTCTCAGTCACACTCACCACATCGAAGTGCTCAGTTGGTATATGGAATTAGTTCATACTGCATTTGAGGGTTGCCTCATAGAACACTTTCTTCATCACAGAAAGTGCTGCTGCACAGCAGGGCCTTAAAGACATAGCACACAGAAAACTCAAATCCATCAACAACAAAAAAGCTAACAATCCCATATATCACTGGCAGGAGGCATGAATAGAGCCTTCTCTAAGGAAGACAGACAAATGGCTAACAAACATATGAAAAAATGCCCATCACTGTAATCAGAGAAATGCAAATCAAAACCACCCTGAGTTATCACCTAACCCTAGTAAGAATAGCCCACATCACAAAGTCCCAAAACTATACATGGTGGCACGGATATGGGGAGAGGGGAACACTCTTACACTGTTGGTAGGACCGCAAACTGATGTAGTCTCTTTGGAAAGAAGTATGGAGATTCTTCAAAGATCTTCAGTTAGATCTCCTATTTGACCCCACAAACCCACTACTAGGCATCTACCTGGAAGAAAAAAAAAATCATTTTATCATAAAGCATTTTCACCAGATTGTTTGTCACAGCTCAATTTAAAGTCAACAAGATGTGGAAGCAGACTAAATGCCCATCAACTCTAGAATGGATTAACAAATTTTGGTATACGCATACCAGGAATACTATTCGGCCATAAAAAGATGATGACATCACCTCTTTTGTAATATCCTACATGGAGTTGAAACACATTCACTTTAGTAAAATATCACAAGAAAGGAAAAGCAATTATCCAATGTACTCAATACTAATATGAAGCCAGTGGATGATCTGATGCATCCCACATAGGAGAAAAACTCATTTCAATTCAAGTTCAGAGGAGGGGTAACAACAGAGGGGGAGGGGGAGGGCTTGGGGTGCTCTCAGGGAATGGGCACGGGGTGGGAGTGTTTGGCACACTTTTTGTGTGTGGGACATAACCACAAGAGGGATTCCACCTAACAAAATCAAATACTTTGACCTGGTTATTTGTACCCTCACATGATCCTGAAATAAATGTACTTTTCAAAAAAAAAAAAAAAAGACAAAGCAAGATAAACTTGACTAGAATTGTTATGCCTCGTTGAGAAATGGAAAAACTTTTCCATTTTACTTCAATCTGTTTTCACCTGAAACTGCTCCAAAAGAATAAATTAAATTTCCACTATTCTCCCCCCTCCACTTTCCTTTATTTCGTTTCCTCAATTACCCCCAGTATGCACTTTTTTCTACTTCATTGGACCTCCAATTTGTTAACTTCTCAATTTTCACTCTATTCATTAAGATATGGATGCTCAATAGAAATATGATAAAGTATGATGCTTCTGTGAGTGTTCACTGTAAGGAAGTTTTTCTACCTGTAGTTTGCAAGTGTTTTTATCATGAGTGGATGAATTTTTTCAAATGTCTTTTTCTGCATCTTTTGAGATGGCACTATAAGTTTGAGGTTCTTCCCCCTTTTATCTTCCACTGCAGAATTGTACTGAACAGAACAATAATGGGTGATGAGTTTAAATCAGTAATAAAAAGTTTCCCAACCAATTTGGTGAAAATATTTTAAATTGTATATAAGATCAGCACATTGTACCCCATAATTACATTAATGTACACAGCTGTGATTTAATAATAATAAAAAAAGGACAAGAACAAAAACAGCCCAGCACTAGGCAGATTCACAGGTGAATTCTACCAGACATACAAATAACTAGTACTAATCGTACTGAAACTTTTCCAAAAGGTTAAGAAAGAGAAAATTCTCCTTTAACTCATCATATGAAGCCAAAGCCAGTGAAGGATGTGACAAAAAAGAAAATTACAGTCCAGCATCCCTGATTAACAGAAATGCTAAAATTCTCAGAAGAGATAATACACCATCATCAAATGGGTTTTAGCCTAAGGATGCAAGGATAGTGAAGCATAAACAACTCAATAAATGTGAATAAAAGCCAAAAACCATGTGATCATTTCAATGCAGAAATGCCTTCTAAGAAAAGCACCAATAAACTCCAGCATCCATTCTTGATTAAATCCCTCAACAAACTAAGCATAAAAGGAATGTATTTCAAGATAATAAAAGCCATCTATGACAAATCCACAGCCAATATCATGCTGAATAGGGAAAAGCTAAAAACATTCTCCTAAGAACTGAAATAAGACAAGGATGCCTACTTTTCTCACAATTTCTATTCAGTACAGTACTAGATGCTGTAGCCAGAGTACTCAGGCAGGGAAATCAATCAAGGACATCCAATTAGAAAAAAAGGAAGTCAAATTATTTCTGTTTGCTGAGAATATGATCTTGTCCCTAGAAAACCCTAAAGAATTCTTCAGAAGACTTGCATATTTGATAAATGAATTCAGTAAATTCTCAGGTTACAGATCAATACACATAAGTCAGTGGCATTTCTTTACCATGATAACAACTGAACTGAGAATCAAATCAAGAACCCAATTTCATTTATAATAGCTGCAAAACATAAAAACAACCTTGGAATATATTTAACAAAAGAGATGAACGATATCTACCAAGAGAACTACAAAACAATGATGAAAGAAATCATAGATCACAAATGGGAAAACCTCCTGCACTCATGGGTTGGCAGAATCAAAATTGTTAATATGACACACTGCCCAAAACAATCTACAGAGTCAATGCAATACCTATCAAACTACAAATGTCATTTCTCAAGGAATTAGAGAAAACAATCCTGAGATTCGTTTGGGACCAAAAAAGAGCCTGCATAGCCAAAGCCATCCTAAACAAGAGCCAAACTAGAGGCATCAAATTACCTGACTTCAAATTATATTGAAGAGATACAGCAGCCAAAGCAGCATGATATAAAAACAGATACATACATCAGTGGAACAAGATAGAGAACCCAGAAGTAGACCACAAACCTCTAACCAAATGATCTTTGATGAAGCAGACAAAAACATACACTGGGGAAAAGAGATACCTGAGTTTATAAATGGTTTCATTAAAATTGAATAAAGATATGCAGAAGAATTAAACTAGACCCTACCTTCCAGGATATACAAATTTAACTCAAAAAGATGGATTAAAAGACTTTGAAAGACCTGAAACCACAAAAATTCTAAATGAAAACCTGGGAACAACTCTTCTTGACATTGGCCTAGCAAAGAATTTATAACCAAGACTCAAAAGCAAATGCAACAAAAATAAAAATAAACAAACGGGAGTTAATTAAACTAAGAAAACTTCTACATAGCAAAATAAATAATCAATAGAGCAAACAGACAACTTACACATGGGAGAAAATATTCACAAACTATGATCCAACGAAGGGCTACTATGTAGGCACTATGAGGAATTCAAAGTACTCAGCAAAAAAACAAACAACCCTATTAAAAAAGCAGGCAAACAACATGAACAGAGTTTTTTTTTTTAGCAAGAATGGCCAACAAACATATGAAAAATTGATAAATATCACTTATCATCAAAGAAATGTGAATTAAAACCACAATGAGATACTACCCTACTCCAATCAGAATGGCTGTTATTTAAAAGTCAAAGAACAGTTGACATTGGTATGGAGTTGGTGAAGGAAACCTTATTCACTGTTGGTGGGGGTGTACATTTCTAATCCTTATG